CTTTTGCCATAATTTGAAATTGTGTGTAAGTTAATAGTGTTGGCTAAATTATTTCACTTTGAATTATCTTTGCCATTATTTTCTGCACCGAGAACCTGATTTGAATTGACAGTCCTCCTTGTGAAATGAATTGTTTGTTGTTGTATTGACTCATGTTTATATCATCAAAATTAAGTTTGTTGAAAAAATGATTAAGATGCAAATTCATCATGAATGAATATTGTCGGGGCATATAAAAGAGCATTATAATAAAAAAAAATAAAAAAAAATGTGTGAAATCAATTAGAACCTGATGGGTGCTTATGTTAGGAATTGTAATTCAATTATGTGACGGAGTTGACCGTGAGCTCTCTAGATCATCATGTACCCAGCTCTGTGTGCATTTCTATACGAAGACAACCCTTTTGTGAAGTTTTCAATAGATAATTAACTTTTCCGTTAAATTTTTATTGACAGTTTTTTTTGTAAGTGTAGAAATGTTTTTGATAGATGAGGTATTCTAGCCGGCCATCTAGAATTACGCGTGTCGACAATTGATCTACAAACTGTGACGGAATTATTTAAATTGATCCATGCATGTGAAATCTGAACACGCAATGTCGATGAGAGTGGATCGGTACATGTCCATCTACATAAGGCTTAGAGACTACGTTCTGTCTATGGCTTAAGAGACTATCAAACGATTTATTTGTACTTTTAGACTCAACTATGAAATAACTGGAGAGATGGAATTATCTATCTTAGCAGTCAATGTGTCATTCAAAATCTTTGATGGGACAGGTTTATTTTTTAGTCATTAGTCGGTCATAACTTAAGCTTATGTACTCTTGTCTAGACAGAGAGTACTGGTAGCGTTACAACACAGACAAATCGTAATGACAAGTATCATTATGGTTCTTTTCATGAAAGAAGATCCTGTTTTAATTTATTCAAGTTCAAATACCAGGAAATTACAGAAAACACCTGTCTTGATCGAGAAAATTAACTTGTCCATGAATTTGAGAATGAAACGGTTAAATGTTTTATACAAGCCGTTCTTGATAAGTATAACGATTTGAGACCACCTGTCCAATTAATGTTAGCGATAATGAGGAGAACCTAGTTGACACAAATACTATCAGATCAGGGTTGGTTTGTGCTTTCTCTGTTGTACAGTATAACCCATAGATAAAAACATTGATACGATCCTGCATTTGATAAGATAAGGACTGCCATTAATTACTCCATCTGATTGGCCAATGTTTACCATGGCAACCAGTCAAAGTATGTGAGAAGGGTTGATGAAATGGATATTTTTTTGTGGGGAATGGTAGGGGTAGGGGTTGTAAGGGGGGACATTTTATCAAGATCTTTCCTAATTAGTTGTCAATTCCCCATCTTAACTGCTGAGGTAGCACTTTTTGTTGACGGTAAAAAAAAATCGCCAAAATGATGACGATAGTTGCTGATTCTCCCGTGAGGTCTGGTTTTCTGTATCAAGACCTATCAAAGGCCAGTACTATTTTGTCACTGGAGTAAAATCACAGGAAAAGATTCAGATGCTGATTGCTCTCTGTCATTATTTAAGGACAGTATGCTAGCTTTCATAAGGCTGGGGGAAAACAAAGATATTTGATACATGTGATGTTGACTTTACCAGTACCCTGAATTGTCTTTGAGAATTCAACATGAATTTGACCTAAATACAGGAATTGAATATTTCCAGATGTTGTCCTTATCATTACAATATAAAATATGTTCACCAAGAGGGTGGGCTTATTAATGGACATGGGTTTATCGTTGGTTAACATGTAAGTGTTCTATAAAACGTTGTCACCAACTGCCACACCAAGGATGTCTGGTTTGCTTGACTCCGCTAGGTTCTCCCAGATTCTAGGCTGTGTCTTCGACTCTAAGTTTCTGATACTATCCATTATATAGGGATAAGAAAGTGTGTCGTGGCTTAGCAAGTCAATTGGTATATATAGGTCATAGGTCATTGACCAACAGGTGTTGAGATAAATGGTCAGATAACTGTGCCAGTGTATGACATCCAATATGTTAATGCTTCAGAAATCATTTTGATAAATATGAAATACTTCTTATCACAAGATAGCTGGCTGTAGGTTGTTTAAAATGGGTTGTACCATAAAGATGATTAAATAAACATTCATAATATCTATTGAAAAAGAACGAACCCAGTTAGCATACAATAGCCAACATTCTATGGTTTATGTCCGTCACATGTAGAATATCTCGACATGATAGAAGAATTATATTCCATAGCTTTAAATAAAAAAGAAATAAAGGGAGCGTCATTGACTTTCACATTTCAATGTTGATTTTAATGAAAGAGATTGATGGTTTATTTGCCTGTATATAAACATGCAGGTGCATTGCGGAAAAAAAATTGATATGGCTATGACGTGTGTTTTGATTGATGTTCCACGCAGCGGGTTGTTTACATACGTCAGCTAGGTCACCGCCCTCGTATTTAAAAATGCATGCATTTTCATAACATATGGCATGTAATGATATAGAGTCATCAGTTACCAATTTTGACGTGTTATTTTGCCATTATTGAGCAGTAATCTTCGTTACTTATTTATTCAATTTATTTTCTCTTTGTACCTTACAAGTTATGTCCCCTTGTTCGCAGGTATATCAGCAGTTATGCCCCTTTGTTACTTGAGTCCTTGTCAGTCTAAATATTAAGAGAAAATAAACTTCGTGTTTTTATCAACAGAATGAAACTGGACCTGGAGTGTCAAAATCATTGTCATCAGCAAGTCCTTTATTTTGATTACCGATAGTTTTTTGCTGTAACAGAGTTAAGTCCCTTAGTTGTCTGTCGAAAAATGTAGATTTGAAGTTTCAAAATTGTTGCAAAAATGTGAAGGAAACTGATTCTTTGTTTTAAACCTTGATCATTAGTTCTAAATCAATTCATCTTAGTTCTTTGGTGTAACTAGACTCGGGGTCGGTTGACCGGTCACCCGGTTGACCGGGTGACCGGGTAGTGTACGTCCATCTACAGTTTGAGGTTTGCGGGTTCAGAGTTGTATTTTTCTTTTTCAGTTATACTTTTAAACTCTCAGCCTTGCAGCAGCGCGTTATGTTTCAATACCCAGTGTAGTTTATGAAAACAATTTTTAAAGGATATAAGGTTTTAACGTTAAACTGGTCCTGTAGGGCTCTAATGATGTTCCAGATAAATAAATGATGACGGATGATATGATGAGGTTTGAAGGACGTCATTTACAAATGAGAAATCTACATATGTTTCCCAGGCAGGAGGCATCAGTTTCATGAGGGAATGATGAAGTGAAATTGTGACAAATTGTATATATAATTCAATTCACTAGAAACCATCAACAACCGTGTGTGTGATTATTACGCCGGCATGATGGTGGCTCTTGGCCCACTGGTGGGGTTGTCATGGCGTCAGTCATCTGACATCCATTCTTCCCTCCACCTTGACATGCACAACTGGAATCAGTTTCATTGAAGTTTTATAGGTGAAGTTTGTGGTCATGAAGATTTGAGATTGAAGCAATTGATGCGTTTTCAAACCAAATTAATTGGTAATCATATTATTCAAATGAGCAAGAAATCATTTTACAGCATAAAAAAATTGTTCAAGGTTACGGCATTTATCGTTCAAGCATTTTGTTTGTGTGGAGTTTTGGGTCTTAGGTCTTATGAGGTTGACGTCTTCAATTGTGTAAGGAAGGATTGACAAGATTTACTGTGAAACAGTGTTTTTTTCTCTCACTTTTTAGCCACGAACAACCTAAACAAACTCTGAGTCTGCTAAAAGAAAGAGATTACGGATGATCAAATATCAGATTTTTCAATTTTAACTCGCTGTTGACATGCAAAGAGCTACGCCATGTACCTCACTTTCAAGTGTTAAAATGTTGAGATTTGCAAAATGGAACACTTCACATTGCTATTAATGGGAGCAAAAAACAATTAGTGTAGATTTTCCGTGTTTAGCCGAGTTAACACTTGTTCGCTAATGAATAATTTGAGGATCAGATTGCTGATGTTGCGATATTTGTCTAAAAAAAAAATGGATCGTGGGGTTTAAATCAAAGTTAGGAGATGTTATTTAAGTGTGAAGGAAGAATTGATGATAGTTTTGGCGAAAGGTGACAGCATGAAGCTATATGACTCTTAATTACTGGCAATGGTTCCGGTATAAACAGTGTTTATTGATATGGAACCAACTTCGGAACTGTTAACAGAAATGTTCCGTGGAATTACAAATATATAAACGTTTATATTAGGGCCGATCAAAGATACTGTTTTGTCATCAGTTTTATCTCCAACAGCAACTGACATTTCAAACCACATTCCGATTCTCAGGAGGGAACACGTTATTGGAGCTATGAAATGATAAATTTTCATCATCTATGAAGTATGCTTGTATCTGTTCACCATAATGGGATATTTGGCAGTCACTGACTAGAAAATATCCGGAGTTGACTGATGGGTTACGATTCTTGAGATTTGAATTATGCTGTTGTCTTTAAAATAGAATAGGCTCGTGTTTCATTTGAAACTTAAAAATACTGACTTCTTGCTATAGCATTCTCTGTATTTTATGTGATAGCTTGATGGGAAATTCATGACTTTTAGAGTTGCATTGTAAAATGGTGTTTATGGTAATATTATGGATATTTGGCATTTGGATGAATATTCAAATGAGTGGAAAAGGCTAATTAGCTAATCTGCATAACTAATTGTTATCTGGTCGACACATCTCATATCGTTAATATTTTGGATGTAATTTTGTTTTGCAAGGCCATTAAATGACCTTTTCAAATATGGTCATCAACTGTTGTTCGACACAAAAACTCGGCACACAGTCAACAGGCCAAATATAATGGAATTTCTTTGTCATGTATTTTATCATTGAATTCAAATATGAGAGAAAGAGAATCAAACTTTGCCATTGAGATTATAATTTAGATTGCATTCATATTTTGATAGAGCTTTATTCTTGTGTTTTTCAGACTCCGAAAGATTTTGAAAGAATTGCCGAAAAACTTCAAGTGCCTGAAAACTCTCAGAGATTTCTGAAAAGTGCCCAGTGCGATGTTTGTAATACATCTGTGTCAAGCTTAAAGCGTGAAGCTGTTGCTATGGTACAGACCATCCAACATGCCCAGTCCGATGTTACCATGGCAACCAATAATCCCGCCCTGGCGGGCTCCGTAAACTTCCGTCCTCAGCAACGAACTGGCCCTGCCTCAGCCAATGCCCATGCAAGGTAAGATTAGGCATATATTCTGAACAAAAGTGTTGACCCTATGACCCTGAATTTAAATTTGTTTTCTATACTAAGCACTGTAACTTGATATACTTGAAATGTACTTTAATATTAGCTTCTGATTCTTCATCTTCATCCTCCATCCTCCATGTCATGTGTTCCTCAGGTTTTAGAAACCCTTAATGCTTGTAAGTGACTCTGGAAATCCTCGCTGACTGACCCTGATCCAAGAAACTATTAAAGTCTGCCTCATAGTCTAGGAAATAACCATGTCTGCCCCTGGTTTAGAAACCCTGCATGCGTATACTTCTGATTGTAGAAACCCTCCATACTTACCTTTGATTCTAGAAACCCTTCCTGTTTGCTTTGTTTCAAGAAATCTATCTTGTCTGCTTTTGGTTTTAAAACCCCTCCTTGTTTGCCTCTTATTCTGGAAATCCTCCATGGTTACTTTTATTCTAGAATCTCTTCTTGTCTGCTTTCGGTTCGAAAAACTCTCCTTGGTTAGTTGTTGATTTTTTGAGAAACCTTCTTTTTCTGCCTCTGACACTAGAAACCCTTTCTTGTCTGCCTCTCGGAGCTCTGACACTAGAAATCCTCTGTGTCTGCCTCTCTGAGCTCTGACACTAGAAATCCTCTGTGTCTGCCTCTCGGAGCTCTGACACTAGAAATCCTCTGTGTCTGACTCTCGGAGCTCTGACACTAGAAATCCTCTGTGTCTGCCTCTCGGAGCTCTGACACTAGAAATCCTCTGTGTCTGCCTCTCGGAGCTCTGACACTAGAAATCCTCTGTGTCTGCCTCTCGGAGCTCTGACACTAGAAATCCTCTGTGTCTGCCTCTCGGAGCTCTGACACTAGAAATCCTCTGTGTCTGCCTCTCGGAGCTCTGACACTAGAAATCCTCTGTGTCTGCCTCTCGGAGCTCTGACACTAGAAATCCTCTGTGTCTGCCTCTCGGAGCTCTGACACTAGAAATCCTCTGTGTCTGCCTCTCGGAGCTCTGACACTAGAAATCCTCTGTGTCTGCCTCTCGGAGCTCTGACACTAGAAATCCTCTGTGTCTGCCTCTCGGAGCTCTGACACTAGAAATCCTCTGTGTCTGCCTCTCGGAGCTCTGACACTAGAAATCCTCTGTGTCTGCCTCTCGGAGCTCTGACACTAGAAATCCTCTGTGTCTGCCTCTCGGAGCTCTGACACTAGAAATCCTCTGTGTCTGCCTCTCGGAGCTCTGACACTAGAAATCCTCTGTGTCTGCCTCTCGGAGCTCTGACACTAGAAATCCTCTGTGTCTGCCTCTCGGAGCTCTGACACTAGAAATCCTCTGTGTCTGCCTCTCGGAGCTCTGACACTAGAAATCCTCTGTGTCTGCCTCTCGGAGCTCTGACACTAGAAATCCTCTGTGTCTGCCTCTCGGAGCTCTGACACTAGAAATCCTCTGTGTCTGCCTCTCGGAGCTCTGACACTAGAAATCCTCTGTGTCTGCCTCTCGGAGCTCTGACACTAGAAATCCTCTGTGTCTGCCTCTCGGAGCTCTGACACTAGAAATCCTCTGTGTCTGCCTCTCGGAGCTCTGACACTAGAAATCCTCTGTGTCTGCCTCTCGGAGCTCTGACACTAGAAATCCTCTGTGTCTGCCTCTCGGAGCTCTGACACTAGAAATCCTCTGTGTCTGCCTCTCGGAGCTCTGACACTAGAAATCCTCTGTGTCTGCCTCTCGGAGCTCTGACACTAGAAATCCTCTGTGTCTGCCTCTCGGAGCTCTGACACTAGAAATCCTCTGTGTCTGCCTCTCGGAGCTCTGACACTAGAAATCCTCTGTGTCTGCCTCTCGGAGCTCTGACACTAGAAATCCTCTGTGTCTGCCTCTCGGAGCTCTGACACTAGAAATCCTCTGTGTCTGCCTCTCGGAGCTCTGACACTAGAAATCCTCTGTGTCTGCCTCTCGGAGCTCTGACACTAGAAATCCTCTGTGTCTGACTCTCGGAGCTCTGACACTAGAAATCCTCTGTGTCTGACTCTCGGAGCTCTGACACTAGAAATCCTCTGTGTCTGACTCTCGGAGCTCTGACACTAGAAATCCTCTGTGTCTGCCTCTCGGAGCTCTGACACTAGAAATCCTCTGTGTCTGCCTCTCGGAGCTCTGACACTAGAAATCCTCTGTGTCTGCCTCTCGGAGCTCTGACACTAGAAATCCTCTGTGTCTGCCTCTCGGAGCTCTGACACTAGAAATCCTCTGTGTCTGCCTCTCGGAGCTCTGACACTAGAAATCCTCTGTGTCTGCCTCTCGGAGCTCTGACACTAGAAATCCTCTGTGTCTGCCTCTCGGAGCTCTGACACTAGAAATCCTCTGTGTCTGCCTCTCGGAGCTCTGACACTAGAAATCCTCTGTGTCTGCCTCTCGGAGCTCTGACACTAGAAATCCTCTGTGTCTGCCTCTCGGAGCTCTGACACTAGAAATCCTCTGTGTCTGCCTCTCGGAGCTCTGACACTAGAAATCCTCTGTGTCTGCCTCTCGGAGCTCTGACACTAGAAATCCTCTGTGTCTGCCTCTCGGAGCTCTGACACTAGAAATCCTCTGTGTCTGCCTCTCGGAGCTCTGACACTAGAAATCCTCTGTGTCTGCCTCTCGGAGCTCTGACACTAGAAATCCTCTGTGTCTGCCTCTCGGAGCTCTGACACTAGAAATCCTCTGTGTCTGCCTCTCGGAGCTCTGACACTAGAAATCCTCTGTGTCTGCCTCTCGGAGCTCTGACACTAGAAATCCTCTGTGTCTGCCTCTCGGAGCTCTGACACTAGAAATCCTCTGTGTCTGCCTCTCGGAGCTCTGACACTAGAAATCCTCTGTGTCTGCCTCTCGGAGCTCTGACACTAGAAATCCTCTGTGTCTGCCTCTCGGAGCTCTGACACTAGAAATCCTCTGTGTCTGCCTCTCGGAGCTCTGACACTAGAAATCCTCTGTGTCTGCCTCTCGGAGCTCTGACACTAGAAATCCTCTGTGTCTGCCTCTCGGAGCTCTGACACTAGAAATCCTCTGTGTCTGCCTCTCGGAGCTCTGACACTAGAAATCCTCTGTGTCTGCCTCTCGGAGCTCTGACACTAGAAATCCTCTGTGTCTGCCTCTCGGAGCTCTGACACTAGAAATCCTCTGTGTCTGCCTCTCGGAGCTCTGACACTAGAAATCCTCTGTGTCTGCCTCTCGGAGCTCTGACACTAGAAATCCTCTGTGTCTGCCTCTCGGAGCTCTGACACTAGAAATCCTCTGTGTCTGCCTCTCGGAGCTCTGACACTAGAAATCCTCTGTGTCTGCCTCTCGGAGCTCTGACACTAGAAATCCTCTGTGTCTGCCTCTCGGAGCTCTGACACTAGAAATCCTCTGTGTCTGACTCTCGGAGCTCTGACACTAGAAATCCTCTGTGTCTGACTCTCGGAGCTCTGACACTAGAAATCCTCTGTGTCTGCCTCTCGGAGCTCTGACACTAGAAATCCTCTGTGTCTGCCTCTCGGAGCTCTGACACTAGAAATCCTCTGTGTCTGCCTCTCGGAGCTCTGACACTAGAAATCCTCTGTGTCTGCCTCTCGGAGCTCTGACACTAGAAATCCTCTGTGTCTGCCTCTCGGAGCTCTGACACTAGAAATCCTCTGTGTCTGCCTCTCGGAGCTCTGACACTAGAAATCCTCTGTGTCTGCCTCTCGGAGCTCTGACACTAGAAATCCTCTGTGTCTGCCTCTCGGAGCTCTGACACTAGAAATCCTCTGTGTCTGCCTCTCGGAGCTCTGACACTAGAAATCCTCTGTGTCTGCCTCTCGGAGCTCTGACACTAGAAATCCTCTGTGTCTGCCTCTCGGAGCTCTGACACTAGAAATCCTCTGTGTCTGCCTCTCGGAGCTCTGACACTAGAAATCCTCTGTGTCTGCCTCTCGGAGCTCTGACACTAGAAATCCTCTGTGTCTGCCTCTCGGAGCTCTGACACTAGAAATCCTCTGTGTCTGCCTCTCGGAGCTCTGACACTAGAAATCCTCTGTGTCTGCCTCTCGGAGCTCTGACACTAGAAATCCTCTGTGTCTGCCTCTCGGAGCTCTGACACTAGAAATCCTCTGTGTCTGCCTCTCGGAGCTCTGACACTAGAAATCCTCTGTGTCTGCCTCTCGGAGCTCTGACACTAGAAATCCTCTGTGTCTGCCTCTCGGAGCTCTGACACTAGAAATCCTCTGTGTCTGCCTCTCGGAGCTCTGACACTAGAAATCCTCTGTGTCTGCCTCTCGGAGCTCTGACACTAGAAATCCTCTGTGTCTGCCTCTCGGAGCTCTGACACTAGAAATCCTCTGTGTCTGCCTCTCGGAGCTCTGACACTAGAAATCCTCTGTGTCTGCCTCTCGGAGCTCTGACACTAGAAATCCTCTGTGTCTGCCTCTCGGAGCTCTGACACTAGAAATCCTCTGTGTCTGCCTCTCGGAGCTCTGACACTAGAAATCCTCTGTGTCTGCCTCTCGGAGCTCTGACACTAGAAATCCTCTGTGTCTGCCTCTCGGAGCTCTGACACTAGAAATCCTCTGTGTCTGCCTCTCGGAGCTCTGACACTAGAAATCCTCTGTGTCTGCCTCTCGGAGCTCTGACACTAGAAATCCTCTGTGTCTGACTCTCGGAGCTCTGACACTAGAAATCCTCTGTGTCTGCCTCTCGGAGCTCTGACACTAGAAATCCTCTGTGTCTGCCTCTCGGAGCTCTGACACTAGAAATCCTCTGTGTCTGCCTCTCGGAGCTCTGACACTAGAAATCCTCTGTGTCTGCCTCTCGGAGCTCTGACACTAGAAATCCTCTGTGTCTGCCTCTCGGAGCTCTGACACTAGAAATCCTCTGTGTCTGCCTCTCGGAGCTCTGACACTAGAAATCCTCTGTGTCTGCCTCTCGGAGCTCTGACACTAGAAATCCTCTGTGTCTGCCTCTCGGAGCTCTGACACTAGAAATCCTCTGTGTCTGCCTCTCGGAGCTCTGACACTAG